AGAGCACCAGGTGCTCTGGCTTTTTGTTTAGAGAGTGAAGGTTTATGGATGTAGCCAAAGTAACAAGGCACTGTGAATTGTATCTGCCTTTTCCTTTTTTCTTGGTGGCAGGCAAGTAATAGAAGTGGCTGTCTTTCTTTTAGGAGCAGACTCATCACTTGATTGTCAGGATCGTGCCATAGATTCTGCTTGTACCCCTGTTGTCTGCTCTTGTCCTCTCAGGAGCAACTCCAGGCTGCAAGGAGCAGATCCTTCAAAAGCAGATTTTGAAATCTTTCTTTCAAAAGATTTACATTGCCTCTGCTCCCCTCCTCTCACATGTTGTGAAAACAGCCCCCACGGGTGCCTGTCAGCAAGGGAGGGGGTGAGATACCATGTGATTGATCTTAACCTTTACGGAGAAACTGAGTCAGGTGATTTTTCTGTTACTTACACTTTTCAGTAATTGTAGCAAGTCCATCCTTTCAGCTTTGCTAGCTCAGCCCACACTTGAGCCTGCAGTTCTCCCAGGCTGTTGCTACAGTCCTGTGGTCTTGGTAGTGGTTTCACTGCCATGGCTCCCACCAGACAACGTCCTGGAGGGAACTCTGTGTGGCAAGGTCCTGCCAGGGCCCCAAGGCTGTCTATGACATCTTGAAATCCAGAGGCTCGCATGGCCCCATTGTTGGCAAACTGTGTGTCTGCGCAGAACCATGTGGGCGCCACCAAGGCTCACAGCTTATGCCCTCCCTTTCAGGGTGGCTGCATGAGCTGCACCTGCTTGAACGTGGCTGGGGTGGTCAGGGAGCACTGTGCTGAAGTGCAGGAGCAGAGTCCCCAGGTGGTCCAGGGTAGTGAATGCTGAGATCCCCTGGGTCCCTCTCTGGATACCCTGCTCCTAAGGCCTCTCCCTGGACTTCTGAAGTGAGGCTGGCAGCCTCAGGATCACTGAAATGCCTCCTCTTGTTGTGATGAAAGCACCTGGCACCATTCTGTCCTGCTGATCTCCCTAGCCAGGGGTCACTTGCTCTCCTAAATGTGTCTTTTCTCTCCTTGTATGGCACATTTTCCAAGTCTTTCCATTCTGCTTCTCTTTGAATTCTGAATTATCTTTAAGTAAGTTCTCTTTGCTTACATCTAACCATTAATGTATGTGGTTAGAAACAGCCATAAAGCCCCTCTGATAGTTTGCTTAGAAATTCCTTCTGCCAGATACTCTAGTTTAATCACTTTTAAATTCTACCTTTCCTAAAGCCCTTGGGCATGTGCACAGTTCAGCCAAGTTCTTTGTGATTTTGTAACAAAGGTGGCCTTTTTTCCAGTTTCCAAAGCCTTGTTCCTCATTTTCCTCTGAGGCCACATCAGAACTGCCTTCACTGCCCATATTTCCACTGACATTCTGGTCACAGACACTGCTGTAATAGCCAGCAGCGGTTCTCTTCTGAACCCTCAGCACGGTCAGCCAAATGCTCCATTCATACCTACTCAAGCTTTTTTTTAACCTGCTCCTCCAAATTCTCACAGCCTCTGTTACCCAGTTCCAAAGCTTCATATTTTTAGGTATGTCTTATGGCAGCAATTCCACTTCTTAGTACCAGTTTTCTATCTTAGTCTGTTTGTGTTGCTAGAACAGAATACCATAGGCTAAGTAATTATGAAAGAAAGAAATACATTGCTTACAGTTCTGGAGGCTGGAAAGTCCAAACTCCAGGGGCCAGCATCATGAGAGGCTCCTTGCAACATCATCCCATAGTGAAGGTGGGAAGCAAGGAGAGCCAGCAACAGAGAGCTGAACTTGCCCCCTTCTTCAGACGCCTCTGTGGACACCAACTTGCTTTTCTTCTTCTTTAGACTACTGTGGACACCAAATTGCTTTTTTAACAATACACTCCTGTGATAATGACATTAATCTCATTCATGAGGGCAAAAGCCTCCTAATCACCTCTTGAAAGTCCCTCTTTTTTTTGAGCCAGAGTCTCACTGTGTCACCCTTGGTAGACACAGCTCACAACAACCTCAAACTTTTGGGGTTAAATGATTTTCTTGCCTCAGCCTCACAAGTAGCTGGGACTACAGGCACCTGTCACAACACCCGGCTATTTTTTGGTTGTAGTCGTCATTGTTTGCAGGCCCGGGCTGGGTTCCAACCTACCAGCTCTAGTGCATGTGGCTAGTGCCCTAGCCTCTGAGCAACAGGTGCTGAGCCAAGCCCCTCCTTTTAATTGTCACAATGGCAGTTAGATTTCAACATGAGTTTTGGAAGGGGACATCCAAACCATAACATTCTAGTGTGTATCCAGTTTTTAATAATTGTTTTTAAAAAAATTTCCAAGGTCTTTAGCTGGTTCTTTTTTATTAATTATCTGTTCTTGTTTCACAATTGCCTATCCCTATCTTATGGTTAATTCTAAAACCTCCTTTATGTCTAAACTTTTGGTTATATGTGCTGTAAAGTCCTCTTCTGACTGCCCTGTCCTGTTTTCTCAGGTAAAGTTGCGTGTGCTTCCCTTCCTCGCTGAGGGCTCCATCCTGGACGGTGCATCTCATGCCTGAAGTTCCTTGTCTTGTATCTTGCCTCATCTTGCCTTAGGGGAAAAGCACCACCAGTAAGTCCCAGTAAGATTGAGGATGGGAGAGAAACATTCTTGGAGACAAATCTAGATTGCCTCGGACATGGCCTGAGGGACTCAGAAACCCTAATCTGGACTGTGAGGACCAGAGAGGTCCCAGGCAACATGGAGACTACACATGCAAACCTACTCTCCCCCCGGTGCCTCAGGCCTCAGTTCTCCTACCTGGCCCTGTGGAAGCCAGTCTCCTGCATCAAGCTCCCTGCTTCTTCTCTAACATCACCCCAGGCCCCACTGACACCACTCTTCTGTCTGTCCAGCTAGTCCCTGCTATGCCCCAAATGCAGATCTCTCCCATATTCTGGCCTCAGTGCTGTAGCTGCTGGTAGTTAGTGCTGTCTGCCCGTACTCCCACTACTGTGTATGTGCTGGGTGGCAGCCCCTGTGGTTGTGGGGCCAGTGTGAATAGAAGTCATGGCTCACCAGAGCTCCTACTGTCAGCCCCTCCAGTGGCTCTCGTCCCTGGCAAGGTGCCTCAAACATTCTAGATGTCTCTTCTTCCACCAGTGTGGGGCCCAGTCATATTGAAGAGAAGCTCCCCCACCCTCTGCTGGCTTGAGGTGGACGCACAAAATAAGAAATAAAGCTTTGTTGTTTTAGACCTCTGTGTTTCATAGTTGTTTGTGGCTGGAGCATAACTTAGCTTGCCAAATATAGAGATGAGCCTCCGGGAGAGGGGTGCCATGCTGACACGTGTGGATGTTGAGCTGCCACTGCCAGAAAACCTGGAATTTGGTGTGCTGGCACGCTGTGTCACGTGGAGGCAAACGTCAAGTGAAGCTCACCTGGTGTGAGATAATTGTTGGTCTCGTGGAAAAGGGTGGGAAGCAACGTTGGGGTGTCAGTCCCAGGCTACATTGACAAAAACACTGCAAGGAACAGGTGAGCTAAAAAAAGATCTGGGTGTGTAAGCTGGGAGGAAAAGGAATTGAGGCAGCTAGAGACAAAGGACTCAGGCTGAGCAGCCTGAAGCAGGAACCCATTCAGCCGTTGGTGCGATGCTGGGGTAGGTCTGGCAAGGACACTGTCTTGGATGTGGGCTCCCAACCTGGCTGTGCCTGCTGAGTGTTGTTGCTGAGCTTTCTGGAGTCACAAGAGGTAGGCAGAGAGACGTGAGCAGCACTGTGTGGGTGGCTGTGGGCACCTAGGGATGGAACCAAGGACAGCCAGAGACCATGAAGTTGTTGGGTTAAATTGCCAAAGAAACGAAGAGCCAGGGATGACTTGTGACAATTGAGACTGACAACCTTGGCAGAGAAGAGGCTGGAAAGCACTTCAGGTTCTAAGGAGGGATTCTTTGTGGACACCATCTTCAGGTGTGGCCAAGGAGCAAACAGGAAAAGGAAGGGTTCTCTGGATGGTGGATTGAGATGCTCAGAGAACACAACTGAGCAGAACCTGGTGCCCACTCCCCGGCAGCCCCAGTAGGGCTCTAGATGGCCTTGGGGCAGGGGCTGCCAGGTGCCTGTATTGCCCCCACTCCTCTCCTGAGAGTGAGGGGCTGCAACTGATCCTGTATTGCCTCAGCCTCTGGATCCTGTATAGCTTCACCCAGCCCTGACTTATGCATGGATGCCTCCAAACATGAACTATAGCTTGCCCCCAGGGCTGGAAAGCTGGAGGGGCCTCTGGAACAGAAGGGCAAGTGGGACATCTGGCAGTGACATCAGGGCTGCCTGCCCACTACTTGCAGTTTTCCCCAAGTCCTAGCTACTACACGTGGGGCAGGGAAATGGCCAGTGGGCTGGGAGAGACATGCTGCCCAGGTGGGAAGCTCTGCAGTTACGTTAAGGTCTGGACTTGTCATAGCAAAATGCCGTGTAGCCCCACGGCCAAGCCGATGGGGACTCCAAAGAGCAGCACTACCTGCAGCCATGGGGAAATGGAATCTCAATCTTACAAGACCAAATTCAGCCCTGCCTCCACCCCTCTCCCTTGCACCCCAGTTTAAGACAGGCCACCACTGAGGCCAGGATTTGACTAAAGCTGCAGAGGTGAAGGTCTAGAGCAGGGGTCCTCAAATTTTTTAAACAGGGGGCCAGTTCACTGTCTCTCAGACTGTTGGAGGGCCAGACTGCAGGCCCCAGGATGAATAGGCTGCTAAGCAGGACAGGCAGCGGCGGCAAAAACACCCAGTGGGCCGGATATATGTCCTCGGCGGGCCGCAGTTTGAGGATACCTGGTATGATGGTGTGACAGTCTCTTTGAGGAGTCCAGAGAAGGCTGTGCTCAGGTCCTGAAAGTCTGGCCAGAGGTGAAGAGGATGTGGGGAACTTGCTTTCAGGGGCCTGTGTGTCAGAGCAGGGGCTGTGACAAGCTCCTGACTCCAGGACCCTGGTGGGCCAGCTCAACTCCACACAGCCAAGCAGATGGAGAGGATGGGAGGCCAAGCTTGCTGAGCAGAAGTTTAATGGGACAATCCCCATGGTGTCCCATCACAGCAGTCCCAGGCTGGAGACCCTGGCCCTGGCCACCTCTCCCAGCAGGTGCCTGATGAGCACCAGCACCACCTCCACCTGTCCCTGGGTATTGCTGTGCTGTGTGTCCCCCACCCAAGGAAGCCACACCTCCCCCGCCAGGTCCCAAGGCCCCACTTTCTCTGAGGGGCTAAGGTATTCTGTGAGATGGGGGGCCCTCTCCAGGGACATCCTTCCTCTCCCTGTGACCCCTGCTCTCACACTGAGGGAATGTCTGTGTCCTTGTCTCTGCCAGGGGCCAACTGAGGCTGTCAGCCCCAGGGTCAGGGTGCAGGGCTCTGTGGGGAGGGGTAGCTCAGGGCCCTACCAGGAGACATGCTGCAGGGATGGCATAGCCTAGGCCTTCCGGCACATGTAAGGCACAGTGTGGTAGCCACTTTTGGGCTGTGGGGGTCACTGCCCCCAGGGGCAGCACCTGCCAGGTACTGGCATCTGGGGCTAGGCATGGCTGTCAGTGTGAAGACTGGAGGCGTGGCGTGTGCGGGCCAGCTCCGAGCCTGCAGTGCAAGAGAGCTGGGTGGGGAGTGGGCCAAGGAACATGGGCCTCTGCTAGACACAAAGAGGCCCCTCTCCCCACACTCCCAGCCTGGGAGAGCCCACGGGAGGGGCTCATGGGCCGGGCAGAGCTCATGGCCAGAGCTGAGGCACAGTCAAGGCAAGCCCGGACCACAGAAGGCACAATCATGGTGTCTGGGGGGTCGAGGGTCAGCCCAACAGGGCTAGGCAGACACGTTGACGTCCCTGAGAGAGATGGCGCTGCCAGGGGCCTCATCCCCTAGCAGCAGGGCTGGTGAGCCTGAGTCCACATCTGCATCCGTGTCCACTCCAGCCCTGGCCTGCTCCGTGCTGGGCTCTGTCCTTGACTCTGCACTGGGCTCAGTGCTAGGGCCCAGGCCCTGGGACAGGATCTGCTGGATGGTCCTGCGCAAGTTGGGGTGTAGCCGGCCCTGTGTCTGGTAGAAGACCTCCAGAGCGAAGGACTTGAGGGCGCCGGTGCAGAGGTCCTCATACAGTGGGATGGTGTACATGCGGGACATCTGTGGAACAGGGTGCCTGGTTATGAGGGCAGGAGCCCACCCTGCCAGCTAATAGGGCAGGCGACCCTCTGCCCCAGGTGTGTTGGCCAGACGAGCACAGCCACAGCCACAGGCCCGGCTTCTTGCCCCCACTCCTCTAGGCTGTCTGAGGCCCAGAGCAGGCAAGGGAGCAAGGGCCCACAGCCTAGGACCCTGGCCTCTGCCTAAGGAGCTTGGTTCCTTTGTGCCCAGATTGGGGCGGGCCCAGATCCCTTATTTCTGCTCCCAATCTGTCCCTCTGGGTTCCTCCCTCTGAGAATTGCTATGCCCTTCACACCTCGGTCTGCTCCCTACTCAGAACCCCACGCCTTCCCCACCCATGTCTGGGCTGCCCAGGTCTTCAGCCCCTGGCCAGCCACCACTCAGGCCCAGGCCAGCAACCCCTCAGCCTGTGACTAGCTGCGCCAGGCCTCAGCCCCTCAGCCCCAGGCTGCAGCCCCTCAGTCCTAGGCTGGCCGCCCCTCAGCCCCAGGCCACAGCCCCTCAGCCCCAGGCCGCAGCCCCTCAACCCTTGGCTGGCCCCCCCTCAGCCCCAGGCTGCAGCCCCTCAGCCCAGGCCACAGCCCCTCAACCCCAGGCTGGCCGCCCCTCAGCCCTTGGCTGGCCCCTCCTCAGCCCCAGGCCGCAGCCCCTGCACCTGGCTCTCCAGGAAGCGCCGCACGCGGTGCAGGTCAGGGTAGTAGTCGTTGCGGACCACGATCTGCAGCCAGCGGATGCGGATCTCGGCGTTCATGGAGTCCAGCAGGGACGAGTAGCACTTGGACAGGCTTGTCACCACCTCTGCAGGATGGGGGGCCGCTCTGGTCAGGGCTATCCTGGCGCCTCCCCCTCCCCCAGGCCAGGCCAGCCTATCAGCTGTGGGACCCACCCTGTGGCAGTGGGGACCCATCCAGGAGCCGGTCCAGGAAGAGAGCCGTTTGGAAGGTCCTCCACTTGGAGATGTCAATGGCACTGGCCGAGGCAGCTGCCTGGTCCAGGGGCTCTGCGGTCCACATCTGGAAGAGGGCCTCAACCGGTCGCGTCAGGCTAGATCCCTGAGACAGGTCTGGCTCGGCCAGTGGTGGGCCCGTTGCATTGAGCCAGCGCTCAAACTCCAGCCCTGCAGGGGAGAAGTAATCCTGGAGTCCCTACCCAACCAGCCTGCCCTGGAGACCTCAGATGCCAAGCAGGTCCCTGGGCAGGGGCCCAGTTCCACGGCTGGGAACCCCTACGGCAGCGGTTCTCAACCTGTGGGTTGTGACCCACAGGAACTGTATTAAAGAGCTGTGGCATTAGGAAGGTTGAGAACACTTGCCCTAGGGGAAGGCTGGGGTCAGCTCCAGAGCCCTCCCTCTGCCTGGCAGATTCTGCCCCCAGGACCTTGGTATACCATATTTCCAGGCTATCTTCATGTGACTGCCTAACTCCCTGCTCAGCCCACCCACCCACCCCCACTGTTCTCATGGTCAGTGTGGGACCAAGGAAGGGCTTTCCCCCAGGCAGAGCAGAAGGGCTCTGTCTTGGTGCTCACTGCACTCTCCAGGCCTGCTGCCTGCCTCACCTGCCCGGCAGTCCACACTTTGCTCCTTCAGCTCTGGGAAGAAGCTCAAGAAGGAGTCCAGCAGGTCCTGGGCCACCACACTGCTGAACTTGTACTTCTCCACGTAGGCCTGTGTGGAGAGGCAGGTGGGCAGTAGCCCATCTCATGGGCCTGCTCACAGCTAAAACAGGGGAGGTAGGCTCCCTAGGCGCTTCCCCCAGAGAAGGGCAGGCAGGGTCCAGCCAGGGTCACCTCCAACTCCGCCCCATCCCCTGCCAGGAGAGGACAGTGCTGCAGTTAGGGAGAGGCCGGGCTGTCCTGGGCAGGGGGTGCTCACTCGGAGGAAGTCATCAAAGCGCTGTGGGTCTCCGCAGAGCTGTGACAGGTAGTACACAAAGCAGTAGCCCTTCTCGTAGGTGAACAGGTTCATCAGGTGGCTGGGATTCACTCCTGCAGGAAAACCATATCTGAGCTGGAGCCCCAGCCTGCCTATGTTCCTTGAGGGGCATAGTGGTCAGTCCCAGAGGGGCTAGGTTGTCCCTTATGAAGGCCAGTGTTGTCTCTCGCAAGTCCAGATGAGTGCTGACACCTGGGAGGGTAGTGGTGAAGCCTGTTCTGTTCAGGAGCCTCAGGAGAGACCTAGACCCTCACGCTACAGGGGCCTGGGAGGTGGTGGGTTGAAGGAAACAGGGAGGCCTTCCTTGAGTTGGGGGCACCCAGCCTGGCCTTGGAGGGGTATAGGGATGTTGGGTGAGAGAAGCTCTAGCCAGAGCAGTGAAGGGCAGGTAGGGAGCCCCTGAGGGGTGATAGGCACCAGGGCTGGGGGGCAGACCCTGGCAGGAGGGGTACCTGGCTCAAGCTTGACCTGCAACTTGCTGACTGGGCTGTCTTCTCCGAGAAGCTTCATCTGCCTGTGCAGGGCATCCAGGCGGAAGGCTGTCTCCAGACAGGTAAAAGCAGCACCTGGATGGGCCAGAGAGGCAGGGAGGGGTGAGAGGAGGCAGGGGAAGGGCACCCAGGGCCAGGCTGGGTCCTACCCCAGCGCACCATAGGTCTCGGTGGTGATGCGACGCTGGGCGTAGGTGGCTAGGCCCTCACTCAACCACATCTCCTCCCATGTGGCGTTAGTGACCGCGTTGCCGAACCAGCTGTGGGCCACCTCATGGATGACGTCGATGACAAGGAACTCGTCGCTCTCCAAGATGGAGGAGATGATGAAAGTGAGGCAGGGGTTCTCCATGGCCACAATGGGGAACGATGGCGGCAGGAAGACAATGTCATACCTGTGTGGGGGCAGGGCAGTGAGTGCAGGGCTGCAGGTCCAGGAGTGTCCTCTGCCTGGGGCAGCCCAGCCCACTGCATCAAGGCCACCTCCTCTGTGGGAGGCAGGGGCAGGACATGGCAGGGCCAGACAAGAGGCTCCCCTCCCCAGCTCCCTCTTCCAGCCAGCCAGGCCCAGGGGCCTCACCCACCTGCCCCACATGTAGGGCCCGTATAGCCGCTCAGCTGCACTCAGCCACTGCTCCACCACACCTGACAGCTTGCTGGTGGCCGTGGGTAGGAGGCATGGCTCAGCCCACACTCGGCTCCTGTTGCAGGGGAGAGAGGAGCTCACCCCATCAGGCCTGCCACCCCTGGGGCCCCAGCTGACTTCCCAGCCTGCAGTCATCTGGCCCTTCCCACAGCAGGGGCAGAGCTGCATCCTGAGGGCCACTTGGTTTTTTTTCTGGGTTGAAGGAACCTGCTAGGGTGGAGGGTGCACCCGGCTGCCTTTGGTGTGGCCCTGCCATGAGGACATGCTGGTGGGCAGGTGCTAAGCAGGTCAGGCTGCCCAGTCTCAGGAGGGCCTGACAGGGATGACCTTGGCAATGGCAATAAGGTAGGGCAAGGACTGAGGTTAGTAGGGGTCCTCTGTAGGGCAGCTGTGGACCTAGGACACAGACCCAGCTTCTAGGGTCTGGCACCTGGCCTGGGCAGACCCAGCCTCCCTGGGGCTGGCACCTGGCCTGGGCAGCCCTGGATAGCAGCACCAGGAAACAAGAAGTAGAAGGCCCTACCTGGGCCCGATGTCTGCTGGCTTGAGGTCTCCGGCCACCAGGGCCACGAGGTAGGCGGGCACGGGGTGCTCCATGTGGAAGCGGAAGATGCCCTCCTCCTCCACGTAGGCACTCTGGGTGGCGCTCATCAGCACCTGCACCCCTGAGGGGGCCTGTGAGGAGGAAAGAGTGAGAAATAGGTGGTCCCCTGTCAGCACACCCATATCCCTGGTCAGAGAACCCAGGTCTTTCCTGGGTAACCCCAGGCCCCATCAGGGAGCCCCATATGCAGGGATAGGGAAACCCACAATCCCCTCAGGGGGCCCTAAACCCTGGGTCAGCGAACCACATTCTCATGAGAGAACCTCCTAACCAGTCAAATAACTCTCATCCTAGACTGGGAAGCCCAAGCGCTCAGTCTGCAAACCTGTTGCCCCAGTCATGAGGGGTTGTCAACTAAGGCTCAGTGACCCCACAGTCCCTACCAGAGGACCTTTGTCCCCACTGGGGACTCACCCTGGGTCCAAGAACCCTGTCAGGCCCATCAGTGACAACCTGGCCCCTGTGCCCCCTGCATGGTGGCTGCTACTGCATAGCGGGTGCAGAGGGCTCCTTCTAAGACCAGGGCTGGGTGGCAGCTGGGGTCATAGCCCAGGCAGGTAGGAGAAAGGAGAATGAGGCCAGGCTGGGCTGCTGGGCTAGACCCTCCACACAGCACCCACAGGAGGCACAGGGCAGGCAGGGCTGACCCTGGGTGGGATGAGGATGGCAGATGGGCCCTGACCTTGACAACAGCTGAGTAGGTGCTCTTCACGGCAGGCGTGTCGAAGCACGGGAAGAAGGAGCGGTTGCACACGGAGTGGCCCTGGGTGAAGACAAAGGGCTTGGCACAGCCGTAGGTCAGCTCAGGCTCCAGCCACCAGATCTGTGGGCAGAGCAGTGTATCAGCAGGAAGCCACCCAGTTTGGGTTCTAGACCCTAAGTGCCCAGGCAGCAGCCAGAGGAAGGTGGAGATGGTGGTCTTACTGACCCATGGAGGGCAGCAGCTACTCCCACACCCTTCACTTGCCTGCATGCGCAGGGCTACAGCAGGCACAGGTAACCCAAGGCGTGACCTGCACTGTGTTATCAGGCCAGCCCTCCAGGTAGGAGGCCAGGCATTAGGAGCCAGCAGAGGGACTGTCCCAGCCGGCGCTGAGGCAAAGAAAGGAAAAGGCCTATCACTGCATCATCTGAGCATCCAAAGAGAAACTGAGGCACAGTCAGAGCACCTTGAGTGCAAATTCCCACAGACTGGCAGCCACTCTGGTCTTAGCCAGAAACATGGAAACATGGGAAAACCAAGCACCACACACTTGGGCAGGGAGTGAGCCCAGGGCCAGCCCTGAGAAGGGCAGCCTCTCCAGGAGGGACAGGCTGCAGGCTGGGGCAGTGAGCAGTGAATGCCCAGGGTTGTGGCAGAGCTGGCCCACACCACAGCTGGGGAGGTCTCCTAGCCCTCAGATGCCGGGGCCAGGCCCCCACTAAGTCCCCTCCACCCCTTATGCCCTCCTGCCTGGCCTACTGCTACCTCACTGTGCCCATCTCATCTGCCACCTGAGAACTCTGGCCTCTAGTGAGGGAGCTCAGAGTGTGGGAGGGCGCTTGCTCCCAACTGCAGCAATGTCACCAGGGTTGTCATAGAGGGCCTTACTTTGTCCCCACCCTCCCCTCTGCCAGGACAACAAGATTGCAAAGCAGACTGAAGTGTTCCTCACACAGTGGCCAGGTGCACACAGGTCCTCCCAGGACCACGAATGAAAGATAGCCCACAACACACCTCTAACAGCAGCTTAGTCTAGAACCATAGCTGGCAACCACCATGGAGATGGCCTCCCCCAAAGACCCCAGACCCAGGAGGGGCAGCCTCTCACACAGACCCAGACCTGGGAGTATAGCCTCCCCCACAGACCTCAGACCCAGGAGGGGTGGCCTGCCACACAGACCCCAGACCCAGTAGGGGCGGCCTCTCACACAGACCCAGACCTGGGAGTACAGCCTCCCCTGCAGACCCCAGACCCAGGAGGGGTGGCCTGCCTCACAGACCCCAGACCCAGGAGGGGCAGCCTCTCACATAGACCCAGACCTAGGAGTACAGCCTCCCTCGCAGACCCCAGACCCAGGAGGGGCGGCTTCTCACACAGACCCAGACCTGGGAGTACAGCCTCCCCTGCAGACCCCAGACTCAGGAGGGGCGGCTTCTCACAGAGACCCAGACCTGGGAGTACAGCCTCCCCTGTAGACCCCAGACGCAGGAGGGGTGGCCTTCCTCACAGACCCCAGACTCAGAAGGGGTGGCCTCTCCCACACATCACACCTGGGAGTGAGGCCACCCCGCAGAACTAGACCCAGGAGGTGGCCTCCCTGCCACCTGCAGACCTAGCTTCCCTTGCTCAGCATTCACAGACCTCTCTAAAACTTTCTCTAGGCTGCCCTTTCCCTGTCCATTCAAGGCTGCAAGGCTGCACTTCCTTTCCTCCTGGGCCCCTGGGCTACCCAAGATGTTTAGACACCTGTCTTGGGAGCCTGGTTAAATTGCAGTCTCCCTCCCAGGGCCCTGCCCCAGAGCTCCAGCTCCTAAGAGCAGGACCTGGGGAAGTACATTTAGGGAACTCCCTGCAGTAGACCCCAGTGCAGGTGGTCCTTGTCCCAGGCTAAGAGAACAGGTCCCCATAATCTCCAAAATGCTCTTCAACCCACACTGTTCCCCCACACCTGCTCCAATATTGCAGCCTCCTGTCTGCCCAACCTTGGGACCTTCTCAGCCTCTGCCTGATTCCCACTCCACCCCTCATTGCCCCATGTCCAACTCCAGAGACCAATGGGGCCCACAGTCCTCCCTTGGAGTGAAGTACTAGGTATATCCCCGTAGTCAAGCCTGGCCCTGCCCCAGTGGTAGGCCAGCAGTTCCCATCATGTACCCAGAGTACAGGTGCTGATGGGCTGGCAGAGAAGTAGCAGGCCTGTGGACCCTGGCAATGCAGGGCAGGGTGGAAACTCTTCTTGCTGGGATGGGGGTGGGGTGGGGTGGGGCTACAGGATGGGGTACAAGAGGCACAGGCCCCAGAGTCTACAGTACCCCCAAACTGACTCTGGAGGCTTGGGGTCCACTGACGAGCTCTTGCTGCATCTTCTGTGGCACAGGGACAGGCCCAGGGATTCAGGCCTGAGTCTCCAGAGCAGGCCAGGAAGAGAAGGGGACTCCAGGCATGGGTCTGAGCCCCCAGTGCTCACAAGCAATGGTGGGTGTCTGAGGTCAGAGCCACATACTCTGCCTTTCACAAGTTGGCCAGATCACAGGCCAGGCAGGCCCCTTGTCCACGACCCATCAACTCTGGAATCACTCTGCCTAAGGGGACCTCCCTGCCCAGAGCACCCATGGCTGTGGGAAACCCAAGGACAACAGCTATTCTTGCCCATCTGGCTCCATCTCAACAGCCTATTGAGGGCCCCTGGGCCTGCTACTCTGCCAGACAGTCTTGAGGGGACCAGACACACGGGCTCACAGATTAGGCCTGGGAGAATCCCATTCCTCAGTTCTCACCTCTTTACCTCAAAGCCCTGGAGGATCACAACAGGTAGCAGGCCAGTGGCTGGCATACCCACAGTGGCTCTGGGAAGTTGAGGTGGCCAGGGAAATATGCAGGAAGCCCACAGGTGTGCCTGTGCTTGGGCCTCTTTCCTCTGTGGCCCTCAGCCTGACACCTCTACACCACCTCTCTGCTTCCCTGTCCATGTGTCATGGGCAGTGACACAGGAGACCTCCAAGGGCCTCCAGAGGTGTGTGTTGTGTATGTACGTTGGGTGTCACTTGTGGCTGTTCCTACCACCTGGGGACTGGACATGAACCTCTATGTTGTGGGAAGGAAAGGTCGTCCTCCATCCCGCAAGCCCCACCATTGGCTGGGGTAGGGGCACTGCAGCCATAGCACCCAAGCTGGGCCACCTGGCTTTTCTGGCAGGGCCTCTGGGGGTGTGTGTGCCCACTTGGTGCCCACCTACAGAGCAGTGCCTACGTGTGTCTGTGTTGAGGTTGTGGGGCTTCTTGGCCGCTGGACCCCACCAGTCCTGGTAAAGGCAGCCCAAAGCCCAGGCATCACGGCCTACACGACTTTCTCCTCTGCCTCCAGCTGGGACAGGTCCATCCCTCACTCTGCCTCCAGAGAACAGACCTGGGTGTGCTCAGCCCTGAGGGCCCAACCCTCAATGCCCAGCTCCAGCAGATGTGTGACTTGGCAAGTGCCAGAAACTGCTCTTTTCCCTAGGCAGAGACAGAACACCTAACCCGAAGCCTCCCTGGTTGGCCTGCTGTTCCCTGTCGCCACAGCCCACAGGGTCAGGACTCAGGCTCTATCCAAGGCTCCCAAGGGTTTACAGGCAACAGCTGGGAATGACTGTGGGCACCTGGACAGGGCTCTGGGCCAGGCCGCCCCCACCCTGTCCGCTGTGCCTAGGCCAAGCTGTCTGCTCAGGACAGGGTGCACAGAGGCCGACAGGAGGATCTGCGGCCGCGACGCACACCCGGACTCACGGCGGGGGCGTCGGTCGAGGTGTAGCGCAGGATGACTTGGAAGGGCTGGTGCGCCTGCAGCTCAGGCGGCAGCGTGACCGTGAGTGAGGAGCCGTAGTCGGTAAACGGGTCTAGCCTGAAGGCCAGCGGGCAGCAGGCAGGCTCGGCGCCCGGCGCCTCAGGGAAGGCTGGCAGCGGGGGCGGTGGCGCGGGTCCTGGCCCGAGGGCGGGGAAGGCGAAAGCGCAAGGCGTCTCGGAGGCGGCGGGGGCGCGACGGAAGGCGGCCGAGTGCAGGCGCAGGGCCGGGTGCGCGTCGAGCACGAGCGCGCGGGGCGCGGGCCGCAGCGCGCACAGCTCGAGCACCAGGCAGCCGGCCAGTTCGCGCGCCTCGGGCCGCAGCTCCAGGCCCAGCTGCAGGTGGCGGAGGCGGAAGAGCTGCGCGCTGGAGGCCGAGGCCACGTCCAGGGCGGGTGGTGGCTCGGGAGGCGGTCGGGCGGGCGCGGCCTCGGTGCCGGGCGCCTTGCGGCAGCAGCACTGCGCGGCCATGGCCGCTGACGCTAGGTGAAATCCATCGG